TGAAGGACAAGGTAGCCTGGCATACTGCAGTCCGTGGGATTGCAAAGAGTCTGACTTAGCAACTGAACAACAACAAAGTTGAAATGAAAATAAATACATGAAAGGTAGATAGATAAAAAGAGAAATAATGTGGTCATTCCAATATTTGACTTTCAAGATGGATAAAGGATTTATTAAGTGAAAGACAAAATGGCAAACCAGCAGGCGCTTAGATCCCACTTAAGATCTTAAAAAAGATCTTAGAAAAGATGAACACAAACTGATTTTTTTTTTAAAAAAATCAGAGCTAAGGACTTTCCTGGTGGTCTAGTGGCTAAGAACACACCTCGCAGGAGACACAGGCTTGATCCCTGGTCTGGGAAGATCCCACATGCTGTGGAGTAACTAAGCCCGTGTGCCATAACTACTGAGCCCTTATGCTACAACTAGAGAATCCGTGCACTGCAACAAAAGATACTGCATGATGTAACTAAGCCCCAACACAGCCAAATTAATTAATTTTTAAAAATCAGGGCTGGTTGTGGGGAGGGTTACGCTAAAGGATTAAGACACTGGTTCTCTCTAAGGTACACAGATTACTGGAGGCTTCCATATGATATATTTCCAGACACATGGTCTGAATTTTCTATGATGAAATTCTATAACCAATCTATATGGCATAAATTTTCTAGTGAACATGTATTAGTTCTGTAAATCCCAAAACAAAGATATTTTTTTTTAATTTATTTATTTATTTATTTATTTTTTAATCACAACCATAGTGTATCTTTTTTTTTTTTTTTTTTACATGTATTCCCCATCCCGGTCCCCCCTCCCACCTCCCTCTCCACCCAATCCCTCTGGGTCTTCCCAGTGCACCAGGCCCGAGCACTTGTCTCATGCACCCAACCTGGGCTGGTGAACTAAAACAAAGATATTTTAAAAATCATGTCCTAGTTTACAACGAAGTCTCACATTTAATACAGTCCAGTTCAGCAGCACATACTGCACCTAACAATGGGCCCTGGGCCAGGGGGAGAGGCCACTTCTGTGTAGAACAAGAGCAGAAGATACACAGGCTGGAAGATGACCAGCTGTGTGGCCTCGGGAAAACCGCCTAACTTCTCTGAGCCTTTGAAAACAAAGACGTGACAGTACTTGTGAGATGAGATGAAAGGACAGACGTGGAGGGTCTCGGCACGTGCTCGTCACTGGGTGTCAGCTCACACAATCCCTGAGCAGCCTCCGGGGGGGACCGTGAGTATCTCCGTTCACAGCGGAGGAGACTGAGGTCCCGAGAGGCGGACTGCAGAGTCCAGATCACACTGAGAGTAGGAGGCGGAGTCAAGATGCAAATTCCGGGCCCAGGTCAGAACCCCCGCCCAGCCCTGCCTGTCCTCACGCTGCCCACGCCCTCCCGACACCCAGAGAGGGCGGCGCCGTGGACCAGGGACCGCCACCTCGCGGCTGACGCACGCGCGTCTCTCCCACCAGAAGGCCAGCTCCACAGGAGGGCCTTTGCTTCCTTCCCTCTTATGTTCCAGGAGCTGGGATGGAGCCTGGACAGAGCAAGCACCACATGACGGTTTGTTGAGTGAATTCAGGAAAATATCGAAGAATTCCGTAGTAAGGAACCAAAGTAAGTGACCCCGGGGCTCATGGGGGTGAAGGGTCACCCCTTCAAGGTCAGGGGGCTGAACAGGCCCCGGGCAGGCCCCTCACCCCCACGGAGTCCTGCCTCCCTGAATCCAAGAGCCTCAGCTCCTTCCCACCCCTCTCCTCAGCTGCCCGGGCCCACGGGAATGAGTGAGTCCAGCTCAGGGAAGGGTCAGGATAAAGGAGAAGACGGTCCCGTTCAGTTCTGACTACACGTCAGCCTGCAGTGCCGTTTGTGCCTCAGTTTCCCAATCTGGAGCATGGGCACCCTCGCTCTGCGGACAGGAGGTGGGGAAGGATTCAGGAGGAATATGAGAGGTGTCTCTCCTGCCTCATTCCTCTCACCGGAGGGGCCGGGCCGTCCTGAGACACTCGGGGTCCAGCCAGTCACCCCTGAGCTGGGCGGAGGGGTGGGCGGTGTGCTGAGACGGGACCAGATAAGGGGGGGACGTGCAGGAACCCACGGCGGGCCCAGGAGGGCCGAGACCCTGGGTGCTGCCTCCCAGCTCAGGGTCTCCCCCCGGAGCTCAGGTGACACCAGGGACCAGCTCTGTCCACTCCTCGAGGTCCCAGCCCTATCTCTGTGTCCTGGCCAAGGGGAGCCAAGAGTCCACGGGCGGAGACCGATAGGCAGGCCAGGTGGGGCCCAGCTCTGACCGCAGCCCTGGCCCCCAGCACAGGCCCTGGTAGTCACAACTCGGCCCCGGAAGTGTCCGCTCGGATGGAGGCCCGACCCCTGGACGGGAGCCTTTGAGAGGCCCAGGTCCCCGGGTCCTATGGGTGCTGCTGAGGGTCAGGGCCCAGCAAGCCCCGGGCCTGGCCTCTCAGGAGCCATGAGGTCGGCAGAGGGGAGCTGGAGGCCACAGGTGTGGGAGCCTCGGCGTGGGCGCTGACGCCACAGCGACTCTGCTGGCCCGCCGACCTCCAGGGGCCCAGCGCCGGGGCCCCCAAAGCAGGAAACAGCCCTGGTAGGTGCCTAATCCCCACACCAGCCCACGTAATTACCAGTTAAACTGCTCCAACTGAAGGAGTTTTACTAGTGCAATTAGTACATCGGAATAAAGAAGGCCCTCTGACAGCTGGCTGGACCTGCCCACAGACCAGGCTTCCCCTGAACAAAGATCGGCTTGTTAATCCACAGCGTCACAGGCCTTAGATCTCCATGAAACATGCAGAGGTGGCGTGGGAAGAAACTGGAATTTGGAATCCACGGTCTGGATGATACCGCAGATGTGCTGTGTAGCCCTGGGTTGCTTATTTAACCTCTCTGAGCCCATGGCTGGTAAAACAGCTTTACAAGTTGCTACATGGATGAAATGAGTATTGAAAGGACTATGGAACTTCAAATGTTAATTTTTATTCAAAAACAGAGACACCTTTGGTTGGCTTTAAAAATCTGTTTCTGGGTCTCATGTGTCTATAGACAGGTGGGACATTTCCACACATCCACACCAAGGCTGAGCAGCAGCTGGGAGAGACTGCGGTCAGCACTCACCAGGGCTGGTTTTCCCTAAAAGGGGGCTGATTTTCTGTCCCTCCCCCTCTATCAACCTATCTCACAACAACTCCGAAGACAGACCATGAGGAGCCCCATTTTACAAGGAGAGATCTAAGGCTCAGAGAGGGCAGGGGCTTCCCCAGGACCACACAGCAGAGGCAGGAGGGGAGCCAGGTCCTCCTGAGCTCAGGGTGCTGCTCACTCACAGCAGCAGCGCCCACCAGGGCCGTGTACCCCTTGCCCCGGGGGTGCTGGGGAAGAGGGACCTGGGGAAGAGGTGACTCACGCAGATGGAGGGCTCCCGTCGGGGCATTCTCAGGGGGACTGTAACCACAGCTCTTCTTAGTCCTGTGCCCGGAGTCAGCTTGTCCCCAGCACAGAGCTCCAGCCTCAGTTCCACATATGGATGCCTCTGTCCCCAGTCGCCCACCCAACCTCTAACCAGGGAGGCAGCATCTAGAACCCACCAGGCCAAGTCCCGAGCTCGCACTGGGATCTCAGCAGAGGTTAACAGCTGCCTCCTGCGGCTCGCTCTCCCACCTGAACCCATCACCAGCTGTTTGGGGGGAACAGTCTTCCCTGACAGTCCCCTCTTCTTGCCCTACCATAGAAAGAAAATGGCTGAAGATGCATAAAATCTGTTGTCACTCTGACCCATGAATCCCTCTGCCGAAACCCCTCTGACAGCTCTTTCCACCATGAAAGCCTGACCACCTGACACAGAACTGTCACCTCCTTGCGCCAGGGATGGAGAGCCAAACAACCTGAGCCTGTCCTGGCTCGGCCACATGGAGGTCACGTTGTCCTGAGCAAGACAGCGCCTCTCTGAGCCTCACTGTCCTCATCCGGGAGATGGGGATGAGTATCATGTCTGCCGACAGGGTTGCTGGGAGGTGAAGGGAGGCTGGTGGCCCTGGCCAGGGGCCTGTCCCCACTCTGGGTCCCATGGCTCTTCCCACCTGGACCTGATCTATGGTCCTTGGTCCCCAGGTCTAGCCTGGTGTCTGCCGCAGCCCAGAACCCCGCCCCTCACTGGCCTCAGACAGGAAACAAAGCGGATGGGAGACCTATTTCATGAATGTAGATTAAAGAGCATTTAGTTATGGAAAAGGTGACCTTTGAGAACTTCAAGGGTAAATGGTTTCATGATTTGGAGTATAATTTTTGCAGAGAGCTAAAGCTGGGCTTTGCCTGGGAGAACAAAGCGGGTTCAAACTGCCCATCGGGTCATTCACTGGGCCTGGACACTCATTCCTGACAAGCCAAGTCCCAGACGTGGGCCCAGGGTGACAAGACCACAGTCTCTGCCCCACTGAGCTCAGTTCATGCCTTCCCCTCCCCTGCCCCCACCCCTAGGTGGCCCAGGGAAGAGGCTGCTCAGTGTGGGCTCAGGACATCTGGGTCCTCACCTCAACTCTGGTGCTTTGATGCCTGACAGGGTTTTCCACGCTGACCTTTGTCCTGCTCTCAATACCGCCCTTATCACAGGGACAGCATCACGGCCTCTGCTTAGTCATCCGTCTCGCCAGGACCAGACTGTCTTCCTGGCACTACCCGGGTCCACCCGACACTACAGGATCTTACGTCGGGGTGTCTGGGGGCGGGTGAAGGTACGCGCCTCTGGGACGCACAGTCCTCGTCCGTCCCTGTCGGTCCAGCAGCTCACCGACCCCCACACCCCTGAGCCGGGCAGGTTTTCCTCCCGCAGGTCCTTGTCCACGACAGGGTGACTCCCCGCCCCCAGCAGGCGCTCCCCCTGCCCGAGGTGGCGCACACGCCCCTGCCGCTCGCGCGCAGCCCCCGTGGGGCCATTCAGCTCGCTGCCTTCTCCCGGGGTCGCCGCCGCCCGCCCGGGACCCGCGCTCACCCATGTTGACGAAGCTCATGACCAGGTCTGCGCGGCCCAGGCGCCGCTCGGGGGCCCCGCCGTCCTCGTCGTCGTCGCTGGCCACGGCGCGGTACAGGTCGAGCATGAAGAGCGGCGCGGACGCCGGCAGCAGGGCGGCGGGGGGCGCGCGGGGCCGGGGCCGGCCGGGCAGCCCGAGCACCGCCAGGATCTCGCGCTGCAGGTCGCGGCGCTCGCGCGGGCCCAGGCGGCGCTGCGGGCAGCCGAGCGGGGGGCGCGGCCCGGGGACGCCGCCGCCGCTCAGCGCGCACAGCGCCAGGCCCAGCAGCCAGAGCGCCCCGGGGCGCGCGGCCATGGCGGGTCTCGAAAGCCTCACCGCGCGCGCATCCGCTCCCAGCGGGGCCCGGGTCGAGGCCGCCCCGACGGCGCGCGGCGGGCCTGGCTTGGGGCCGGCGGGACGGGGCGTGGGTCGCCCGCGAACGCGGCTAGGTCCCTAGAGCTCCCGGACCGTCGGCTGCGGCCGCACAGCCTCGGGAAGGGGCTCCTCCGGGAACCAGGGACGGTCGGCTAGTCTGTCCGTTCCGCTGCGCCCGACAGGCCGGCTGCTGCAGTGGCCGCTCAGCTTAGAGGCGCAGGGAGCGCGGCCGTCGGGTTCGGGGAGGTGCGGGCCGTGTCTGTACCGCTCCGAGGGCCCGCGGCCGCCTCTCTCAGTCCAGCTGGGAGCCGTCGGGTCCCGCCCCTCGGACCCGACCAATGGGGGTGCGGGGGAGGGGACAAGGCTCGGAACCTGTGCCCCAGGAAGGGGCGCTGGGTGGCGGGTCTTGACGCCCCGGCGGGACAAGTGAGGAGTGCACAGCCCAGCCGTCAGGGGCCTAGCTGTCGTCCTGGGTTCCGCTGCCCACTCTGGCCTCGCTGTCCGGAGAGCGCGGGGACTGGGCCTGGGGAACCCAGGGTACAGGCGCGATCTGAGATCAGACCCTGCGCTCCCACGGGGCATGTTCTTGATCGCCCTGCCGGGGCGTGATCCTAACTCTATGTCCCGCCGTGGAGTGACCCGAAAGCCCTGTCTGGTGCGTGGGGTGTCGCCCCAGGGCCCGAAACGCCTCAGGCTAGTCTAGAGGTGGAGGGGTTCGCAGGTGCCAGCCAAGCCTAGAGAGTGGGGCGCATCCTTTCGCCAGTAGCATCCGGGCAGGAGTTCCTCGCCACCGCAGCTCCTGGCCGGCCTCTGCGCTTTTGGGGGGTTTCTTCCGGGACATCTGACACTCGCTGGGTCACTGCTCCCGGCGCGCCCACCCACCTGGCTCCGGCGCGCTCCGGATCAGCGCCTCTGGCTGGCCGCCCCAGCAGCTTCAGCAGCCGCGCTATCACCGCCAGCTCCGCTGTACGCCCTTCGGACCCCGGTGCGGGTCCAGCCGCGCGCGAGATATGCCTCCCACAGGTCAAGGAGCTCTGGCGCCCTTCCTGATTTTTTGCGCGTCTTAATTATCACGACCCTCAGCGATTTTTTTTTTTTGCATATTTGATTTACAATGTTGTGTTTCCTCTGCCTGCTTTTTATTTTTTTATTTTTTTTTAAACTGTTTACAATATGTTTATTTTTTTTTCCATTGTTGAAAATAGTTCATTTTTTTTTTTTTTACATGTATTCCCCATCCCGGTCCCCCCTCCCACCTCCCTCTCCACCCAATCCCTCTGGGTCTTCCCAGTGCACCAGGCCCAAGCACTTGTCTCATGCACCCAACCTGGGCTGGTGAACTGTTTCACCCTAGATAATATACGTGTTTCAATGCTGTTCTCTTGAAACATCCCACCCTCGCCTTCTCCCAGAGTCCACAAGTCTGTTCTATACATAGGAGTCTCTTTTTCTGTTTTGCACATAGGGTTATCGTTACCATCTTTCTAAATTCCATATATATGTGTTAGTATACTGTAATGGTCTTTATCTTTCTGGCTTACTTCGCTCTGTATAATGGGCTCCAGTTTCATCCATCTCATTAGAACTGATTCAAATGAATTCTTTTTAATGGCTGAATAATATTCCATGGTGTATATGTACCACAGCTTCCTCATCCATTCGTCTGCTGATGGGCATCTAGGTCCAAAACTGAACCAGGAAGAAATAGAAGATCTTAACAAACCCATCACAAGCAAGGAAATCGAAACTGTAATCAGAAACCTTCCAGCAAACAAAAGCCCAGGACCAGATGGCTTCACAGCTGAATTCTACCAAAAATTTAGAGAAGAGCTAACACCTATCTTACTCAAACTCTTCCAGAAAATTGCAGAAGAAGGTAAACTTCCAAACTCATTCTATGAGGCCACCATCACCCTAATTCCAAAACCAGACAAAGATGCCACAAAAAAAGAAAACTACAGGCCAATATCACTGATGAACATAGATGCAAAAATCCTCAGCGATTTTTGAGAGAAGAATCATCGCGGAAACTCCTTGATTGACTATCCCCTTCTGCATAGCCTGCTCTTCCCTAGGCGCTTTCTCACCGCGTTTATTCAGTTCATCACGGACTCAAGGTGTGATTACAGGGCAAGAAAAAAGCACGATGAAACGGTCCGGTCTCCATGGGGGATGTCCAGCCAGTGGGTCAGGTTACCGCCTGTTAATACACCAATTAAAAATCAGGGATTGTCAGATGATTTAGGGTGGGGGGGAAAGCAAGAACAAATGATAAGCTAGACCCCCGTTCGATTCCTGGGTCGGGAAAATCCCCTGGAGAACGGATAGGCCACCCGCTCCAGGATTTTTGGGTTTCCCTAGTGGCTCAGCTTGGAGAAGGCAATGGCAGCCCACTCCAGTGTTCTTGCCTGGAGAAACCCAGGGACGGCAGAGCCTGGTGGGCTGCTGTCTGTGGGGTCACAGAGTCGGACACGACTGACGCGACTTGGCAGCAGTGGCTCAGCTGGTAAAGAATCTGCCTACAATGTGGGAGACCTGGGTTCAATCCCTGGGTTGGGAAGATCCCTGGAGAAGGGAAAGGCTACCCATTCCAGTATTCTGGCCTGGAGAATTCCATGGACTGCATAGTCCACGGGGTCGCGAAGAGTCAGATACGACTGAGCAACTTTCACTTTCATAATCTTTTCAAAATCATATCATTTAAAAGATTCACTGTAAATACAAAACACAAGTTGGAAGTCAATGGATGGAAAAAATACATCATGCAAATAAAAGAGTAAGAAGGCTGGAGGGGCCGTATTAATATCAGGTAGACATTAGACTTCAAGATGCAAAATGTTAATCAGAGATAATGATAAAAGTGTCACTTCATGTGAATCCATCCTACTGAAACAGAAGGGCTTTGTGCAGCTGAATATGACAGACTCATGCAATTCTAAATACTGATGCTTATGGTTCCAAAGTGGTTAAAAGGTCCTCACATTTATCTTGGGAGTCAGTGGAAAAGGGCATCTATCCACTTGAAATTAAATCCATTTTGTGACTCAAATGATACCTGGATGGTTGGACCAGGGATGGGGGTGGAGGTGGGCGAAACCTCTCAAAATGAAGTTCACACATTGCCAAATCTGAGTCAAAACAACTTTGGTCAATTCTTTGTGACTGATGCAGAATTCTGGCAGGAGTTTGCTTAAACACACAGAGGAAGGAGACCCCCTCTCCAAAAAGCAGACTCTTTGAAACTTTCTTTCTCCCCTAGAAGGGCAGCACGAGCAGAAGGCACTCATGGGTGGAGGACCCAATGTCTTTGCCCTCCACTCAGCCCAGATCTCATCCCTTACCTTGTGGGCATCCATGAGGTTCGTGATGAGATCGAGACCCCCGCGCACAGGCTCGTCTTCAGCCAGCTTTGGCTTCATCTGGTACTAACAGAGGAACAAGGCCTGCAGAGCGTCCGTGAACTGGCCTGAAGTCAGCAGGGCCTCCTCCAGCTGCCTGAGACGAGCACACAAACCTCACCATTGGCAAGGGGATGTCTCTCTTATGGGGCGTCCCTGGAGGCACAGTGGTAGAGTCCACCTGTCAGTGCAGGACACGGGGGTTCAATCTCCAGGTCGGGAAGATCCCCTGGAGTAGGAAATGCCAACCTGCTCCAGTATTCATGCCGGGAAAATCCCATGGACAGAGGAGTTTGGCGGGCTACAGTCCCACAGGGTCATGAAGAGTTGGACATGACTGAGCATCTGAGAGCACATGCACAATCTCTTGTATGAATGGCCCAACTGAAGAGGAATGTTGCTTGAAATCTATATAGAGAACGACCTCCATATTGGAATGGTTAGAAATATAGTTAAAAGTTATCAAGATGATGGGAATTCCCTGGTGGTCCAGTGATTAGGACTCATCGGTACATTCACTGCCATGGCCCAGGTTCCATCCCTGCTCAGGGGAACTAAGATCCCACAAGCCATGTGGGATGGCTTAATAACAAAAAAAGTTAACAAGATGACAATTAACTTTATAGACAACAAAAGAAAAAACAGATCAATTGGACTTTTAATTATTATCAAAATTTGAAACTGTTTATCAAGGACATTGTCAATAGGGTAAAAGGCAACCCACAAAATGGAAGAAAATACTTGCAAGTCGTGTGTATGATAAAAAATTAATATCCAGAATAAATAAAAAACTCATAAAACTAAATAACAATAAAACAACCAATTTAGAAATGGGCAAAGGACTTAAATAGACATTTCTCCAAAGAAGATGTATAGATGGCCAATAGCATGTGAGATGTTCAGCATTATTAGTCATTAGGGAAATGGACCCTGCTTATTTAACTTATATGCAGAATACATCATGCAAAATGCCAGGTTGGATGAAGTCCAAGCTGGAATCAAGATTTCTGGGAGAAATATCAATAACCTCAGATATACACCAATCTTATGGCAGAAAGCAAAGAGGAACTAAAGAGCCTCCTGATGAAAGTGTAAGACGAGAGTGAAAAAACTGGCTTAAAACTCAACATTCAAAAAATCTAAGATCATGGCATCCAGTCCCATCACTTCATGGCAAATAGATGGGGAAACAATGGAAACAGTGGCAGATTTTATTTTCTTGGGCTCCAAAATCACTGTGAACAGTGACTGCAGCCAAGAAATTAAAAGAATCTTGCTCCTTGAAAGAAAAGCTATGACAAACCTAGATGGCATATTAAAAAGCAGAAACAATTACTTTGCCAACAAAGGTCCATCTAGCCAAAGCTATGGTTTTTCCAGTAGTCATGTGTGGACATGACAGTTGGACCATAAAGAAGGCTGAATGCCAAAGAATTGATGCTTTTGAACTGTGGTGTTGGAGTAAACTGCCGAGAGTCCCTTGGACTGCAAGGAGATCAAACCAGTCAATGAACTGGTTCAGGAAATCAGCCCTGAACATTC